CACCTTTTCTTTTTTTGAAAAAATGAATATTTATGTCGTTTTATTATTTTCGTTTATTTTTTCATTTATTAAGGTGGGAATGCATGACAGACAAATAAATATTGATATATTACTTAATTATTTATATAATATCAATACAAGATTATACACATTTATACAATATTCACTACAAGAAAAGTGTGAATTACATGAGGATTTTCCTGGGGATTAGTATGAAAATCCGTAGGAAACTTATTTTCCTGCAAATTTTCATACTAATCCCCATGTAATTCACATTTTTCTTGTAGTGATTGCTATATTACATATACACTACATAATTATTTGTACATCATATAAACATGTTTATATATCATTTATACAATATTAATACAATATCGATACATTACATAACTATTTAACCAGTGGTGGACCTATGTAGTCACTTATGGGTGCTTAAGCACCCACTACCTTTCGTGTCAACATTCTTATTTATGTACAAAATTTAGAAATGTATTGAAATATATTAACTGAGCACCCATTATATGTAGCAATTTCCGAGCTAAAAATAGTTGAGCACCCATGATATAAAATTTCTGGATCCGCCACTATTAATTTAACAATATCGATGCATTACATATACACTACATAAGACATAATTATTTGTGTATTATATATACATGTTTATACACCTATTAATCACAAAAACTTTTAATTTGTATTTTTAAATCAAAAGAATTTTCACCAAATATTTAAATGATCGAGCTTGGTCAATTTTTTACTTTTCCTATTTTTGGTGTAAAAAAAAAAAAAAGATCAACCACAATCGATTTTATTTAAAAAATTGAAATCAAATTGAATTTTCTTAATCTAATTAAAAATTGAACCGTTTAAATTGGCTAAATAAGAGGAGAAACCATACCAAAAAAAAGCAGGACCTCATATAAATATGTGACACGTGGCGATCATAGACAATAACAAAGACCAAATATATACCAAAGAAAAGTAACAGACTACAAAAAATGTGGGAATTTTATTTTGTAGCATTTAAAAAGAAGACCATTTCATTGCCTTTTGGAATCGTTGAGTTTGATTTCAATTTTGCTTTGTTTTTTTTTTTTTTTTTTGTATTTGCACTCACAACCCAACTGTGGGCACCAACAGCTTATTCCCCTCCCCAAAAAGGTAATTTCGTTGTTCGGAGACGAATTTAGAATTTAAAATCAATATATGTATATGAGAATAATTCAAATTCGTATCTATTGATCGTTTGGTTATAGGGATAGGATGCTATATCATTATTAAATTTGGGATTAAATTTGTTTAGTGTTTCGTAATGGATATTAGCTAACTCATGAGATTATTTATCGCATATTATATGAGATGAGATTATTTTTCTCGTTGTAATCTCTAGATTATAATATTTAGATAACATTGTCGATGGTAGCTTATACTATTTATACCTGGTTAAAATTATTGTTTATTTATACGGTAGATGTCAAAACTCAAACCCCCTTCGGCTAGTTAGGGTGTTCAGTTCTTCAGATTTTGAACCCCCTTAGTCATGACTAGCTTCGCCACCGTAATTAGGGGCATTATATATAGAGTGTTGATTATAAATATTCATATTATATATTATTGTCGCTAAATAATTACTCCAAAATCCTTTATTTGTTATAGCTACTTGATTATGACATTTGAATTTGCTTCTTGAATGTTGATATTAATGGCTTATGGGAAGGATTATGGATGTGTGTATTTGTTATTGGGTTGAAAGGGTACAAATGTGGTAACACTCTTTGTAAATGTTGGATCGAATGACAATTAAAGACTTAAGTGATCCGCTAAAAGTTACTTTGAATTTTGATCATGGGATGCAGTACATAAAAAATGGCAGATGGTGAGGATATTCAGCCACTGGTCTGTGATAATGGAACAGGAATGGTCAAGGTAGGTATTTGAAATTTGAAATTTGAAAATTGAAATTTGAAATTCTAAATTCTAAATTTGAAATTTGAATTTTGTAGGCTGGATTTGCTGGAGACGATGCTCCACGAGCAGTGTTTCCGAGCATTGTTGGTCGGCCACGACACACAGGTGTGATGGTTGGTATGGGGCAAAAAGATGCATATGTTGGTGATGAAGCTCAATCGAAACGTGGTATTCTATCATTGAAATATCCAATTGAGCATGGTATTGTGAGCAATTGGGATGATATGGAGAAAATCTGGCATCATACATTTTACAATGAACTTCGTGTTGCTCCAGAGGAACACCCTGTTCTACTCACCGAAGCACCTCTCAATCCTAAGGCTAATCGTGAGAAGATGACTCAAATCATGTTTGAGACATTTAACACTCCTGCTATGTATGTTGCCATTCAAGCTGTTCTCTCTCTTTATTCCAGTGGTCGTACAACAGGTATTGTCATGGACTCTGGTGATGGTGTTAGCCACACTGTCCCAATCTATGAGGGATATGCTCTCCCACATGCTATCCTTCGTCTCGATTTAGCAGGACGTGACCTAACTGATCACCTAATGAAGATCTTGACAGAGCGCGGTTACTCATTCACCACCACTGCTGAACGAGAAATTGTGAGGGATGTTAAGGAAAAGCTCTCCTACATTGCTCTTGACTATGAACAAGAGATGATAGACACTAGTACCTCAAAAAAAACTAGTGTTGACAAGACCTACGAGTTGCCTGATGGTCAAGTCATAACTATTGGTGCAGAACGTTTCCGATGCCCTGAAGTGCTTTTCCAGCCTTCAATTATCGGAATGGAAGCTGCTGGAATCCATGAAACAACCTACAACTCCATCATGAAGTGTGACGTCGATATCAGGAAGGATCTTTATGGAAACATTGTACTTAGTGGCGGAACCACTATGTTTCCTGGAATTGCTGATAGAATGAGCAAAGAAATCACAGCATTGGCTCCAACTAGCATGAAAATTAAGGTCGTTGCACCACCAGAAAGGAAGTATAGTGTTTGGATTGGAGGTTCAATCTTAGCTTCTTTAAGTACCTTCCAACAGATGTGGATTGCAAAGGCAGAATATGATGAATCTGGTCCATCCATTGTGCATAGAAAATGCTTCTAATTCTTCCCATGTAATTTCTATCTCCTCCTGTAATAATAATTCACATCACATGTAAATTTTCTAAATCGATTTGTTTTTCGTTATATGTCCACACATAACCATGTGTACAAGTATTCATTAAGCAGGTCATCTTGGGTTGCATGTTTTCTCGGTTTGACATAGTGCAGGTTGCCTCTCTGGTGTGATTTGTAGGCAATTAGATTAAAGCACAGTTTACCCAAAGAATAGTCCCTCCCTTGTCAACAAAAAATAATAATTCGGACAGGGTTGAAATTATCGGTACACAATCGCAGCGTTAGTGAACAAGTGTGATATTATGCGGAGGGCTGACCCAATAAGTAGTTCACTATAGGCCCAATTCGTTTAAGTTTGGGTGGGTCAAAACCTGCTCATTTATTAGCTCAACCCAATTGATTGATGAGAAATCTTGTCAAAATATTTTTAAAAAGATATTTTTTATTTTATATTTAGTGATTATAAGAAAATATTAGGTACTAAAAATTTATAAAAGAACTAATAAAGCAATTAAACTTTAATAAGAATTGGTGGGTTAGGTTATGACCCCCATTTTAGTCCAAACCATTCCGGTCCAAGTAGCTTTGGGTCTATAACTCGCCCATTTATTAACACAACCCAATTTAGTCTGTCGAAATTCAACTCAATTCGCGCATTTGATACCTCTAGTTTAGGGCTCTAGATTTTCAGTTTATACATTCCTAAGGCTGATTCTATCTTAAAACCAAAGCTCTTAGCTTCTTAGTTCTTAAGACATCCAATAAAATTGGGCGTTTGGTTGGATTTTAAGATTGATAGGCGTGTAAACTATGTATTGAATAAAATATAAGGAATATAGAGAATTCATACAGTCAATCGATCCTCAAGTTAATTGGGATTTGATATATAGTTAGTTATTGATGTTGTATTTTCTTTCATTTCTAGTTTTTGTTTTGTGTTAATTACTCAAAAAACTCAATATATCCTAAAAAACGGAGTTTATACATATTAAGTGATCTTTTGCACATAAAATCGAGTTTGAGCCAAAACTACTTAAAAAAATTTGTCGAATCCTTTAAGAGAAGTCAAGCCTTCATTGCGCCATATGTCGCGAAACCAATAGTCGTGGAGTGGACAATTTTCATGTAGTTTATGCAAAGTCCCACAAATAATTGCCTCCCACCTTGATTGCGTACAATGGAAGAAATTAAAAACCGTTGAACATATTCCTATTTTGAGGGTAAAGCGCTTCGTTTTGCAATGTAGGTTGCAAATGCAAGCGATCTACCTGCATCTGTCTCCTAACCACGTCCAATGGATACGTAAATGTTTGTCCAAATAAGCTAGAGCTAGAGCTCCACAAGAAAGATGCATCAAAATGGACCTTTGGTGATCTTCAGGAACACGCCTCTTTATTTCTTCGTAAATATAAAACTTCAATCCAGAATAAGGAAAAATACCAACAAGTGTAGGCCCTATGCCTCTATATAGTGCATGTAGTTCCTCTTCCTTGGGACCACCCTCATGACATGTTTAACACCACCATACGAATGATGTTTAACATGTCCTAAAACCACGATTCCTCCTGTTGTCGAGCCAACTAAAAGATCTACTAACAACCCCATTTCCACTGCAATTTTCCAATGAAGGGGTGTTTAGATGAATCTCGTCTTTGTGCTTCTATCTCTGCCTCTAAAGAGTTATAACTATATTTATGAAGTCTTTCTTTGTTGTTAAACTTCGTTTTTATTCAAATAGGTTCACATTAGTTATAACGGAAAGAAAATATATTAAGAATATCATAAATATACGACCAATTGGAAACAAAAATTGATCAAATCAAAAAGAATTCACCATATTTTGCTCTTTAAGCTGCAATAAGCTCAAGATAGAAGTCAAATCAACTTTGAGGTTAAAAAAAAATTAGCACACTATACATAACATTATATTCCCAGTTCAGGGGAAAAGACCAAATGACTACTTAAAACAAAGAGAGTTCGTTTCTCTTTTCTTTTCCTACAGAGGCAGATTTTACAGCATCTCTCTGGAACAGGAAGCGGCAAATTACGTCAAATGTAGCTCTAGGATCAATCACATCTGCATTTTAATGGTCAAATACATGACTTGCAGCAACGATCAACTTCTGTTAGTGCAAACGGGAAGAGGCAGAGGCTTCAAAGTTCATATTCTGTTGCTTGTTTATCAGTCCCCTAGAAGGGTTCGTTTTTTGGATGTGTTCATGTAAGGCTTTATGACCCACTCGATTTGAGCTTCGTCTTGATCCATTGTTCCTAATTTGATCTACATTGAAAAACAAGTAACTTGATCAGGAATGAGCAATCAGCAACAGATAGAATACGGATCAAGGTGATCACACATTCCTAACAACGTAGCACGGAATTCATATGACAGAGAGACAGGGCAAGTGTACTAAACAAAGCACATTTTCAGGGACTGATTCTTCAAGACCAAAACAAATCTGTTAACTAATATGATAAATTCTCAAGCTAGATAAAACACATATTAGTGAACTCTTGGAGAAGAGATTAATATCACTTCTGGTTTAGTTGCTTGACATCTATTATCATGAAGCAGATAAGAGAACTTGAAGCAACTTTTTTCTCTTTTGTCGTTCCAAATAATTTTATAGGAATATGTAGATGTGGAAAACATAGCTCTGGCAACTAAACTAAGATAAGTCAAGATTACACAGTTTCAAGATTATTTATAAACATGGATGCAAACAAATATGATGAACTAGTCTTGGTATAATTATTGTTACCTGGTAAAGCCGTAGTTCAAATCGAGGGCCAACTTCTTTCAGCTCAATTGATTTTGGACCTCCATGCTTTTCATAGACGTGATGTCTGCATGTTTCACAATCAAATTTAGTATAAAGAAAAGGGAAGGGGGGAGCTGTATATCCAGTAAATCATCAAATTTATACCTATTTTTAACTATCCTCTGTCAGTTAACAAGACAACCAAGGGATAGCCTAGTGGTAAGGACCCTCCACCAGAGGATTATTCGAAATCTTAGTGAAACACTGGATTTCTTATCTCATGCATGCTTTTCATGAAAAAAAATACCGATTGAAGTGGAGGGTTTCTTCAAACAAGGGACTGGTTCAACTATTCAATCAAATGATATTGAACATGTTTCTCATCTCTTCTCGAGAAACAAGTGGGGGCAATTTCTTTGCAACAATTTCATATGTGGCAATCACGCTAAGATCGAACCATGCGGTTGGTGGTTTGAGTCAATCAAGTGAGTAAAGTGGGATAAGCTACTGCTCCCTCCTGCTGGACAGGAGAGGTAATGAAATTTAAGCAGGATATTCCAACTTGTATCTTGCATGGTCTTTGTCATAATCCATTTGTCTGTCTATTTCTCTCATCTTTTAACATTTTGAGAAGCAAAAGTATGTAGCATATCATGGATTTAGCCCCTTCTGTATATGTTAGAATAGTTCAGGAAAATCCATGGGCCTCACCATACAGAATAAAAAAATGGTTAATGATTTCTGACGCAACCTAGGTTGCACTTACTTTTCCATTATGTTGTTGCACCCGTGTTGAATTCTCCAAAAACACTATTTTGGGAGAATCTGACGCACACCCATTGACATCTTTGAAGAGTCCGAGAAACATTGTCTGGAACAAAATGTGTAAAAGCTAATGACTAAAACAACTAAAAGAGACATCCGTAAATTGATGAACTTCAGAAAAACACAACAAAATGTTACAAAAAAGAGTCTAGAACGTAGTCTGGCACAATCAGCGAAAATATATCTAATTGTTTAAAGATAGCTAATGCCAAAGCAATTGTTTACAAGCTTCATTCTGATTGTATGGCTTCTATTTACCAAAATGAGAAATCTGTGGATCGAGGATCAAATGGGAAAAAATATTGCTGAGCCATAATCCCCAGCTTGCCTTGTACTTAAGTAAAACTAAACAGCAAAACTAACAACCTCCATTGCTAAAGTAGAACTTAATGAGACTGAACAAGAAACAAACCTGAATGAGATGTAGTCCGACTGGTTAGCAAATGTGAGGATTCGTTTTGTATCAGGCTTGGGAACAGGAAACAAATGCTTTAGGATGTTTACTGTCCTCTCACCAAGCTGCATGATCAAAATATCCCCCGTGAGTATAGAACAGTATATAAGATGCCACACTAAGAATTCAAAGACTAAATATTCAAGAGTTATCTAAACATCCAGTAACTGATTTTGGCGACATGATCAACCAGTTTTAAAAATCTCAATGTCAGTAGCAAGTCTACTGAAATGCATGTGTTTCATTGAAAAAGGGATGTCAGGAATTACCTTAGTTGAAAATTTGTCAAAAATCAAATGTGGATACGCCTCAGACATCGTTCCCATAGATTTTTTGTCCTTAATATCATGTCTAGTCACCTGCATGAAAATAGTAGATGAGGACATCATCTTACAACTCACATAGACAGCAGAAGACTTCTGCGATTAACAGGGTAAGAGTAAGACCACTTGCCACATTGAGCAATCCAAAGTAAGCAGTTGGACCAAAAGGCAGATGACTAATGACAATACCATCAGGCACACCACGATTCTCATGGACCAAAATTACATCTGTAAAATCATGAGATCGGCAGGTTTCAATTATTTCTGATATAACCTGAAAAAAAAGAAGAAAAATGAGCAAAATACAAACATATGATAAAAAAATAGAAGATAATTGTAAAACCATAAATATCTTGAAGTTGTGCTGCTTGGACTCTCCAAATAACTCAGCCACACTGTGTCGGATGCTTCAAAAATGCACTACGTTTGGAGGATCCGACATGCACCAAGATGACATTTTTGAAGAATCCAAGCAACATAGGCTTTAAGAACTAAATAGCTTGTTATGCAAGCACATAAATGTTAATAAGTGCTTAAGACAAATCACTTTCCCTGCACAAACAAGGGGTCTAAGAGTCAAAGAATCAGAGCTCTTTTCATTTAAAAAAACAAATATGAGACATCCATGGCCATCTGTTCTCTTCTTTTTATATTCAATTAAATTTTTTTAGAAGGTTTGCAGGAATGTATATATGTGAGCCTGATACATTATTCTAGCACTCTCTGTGTTCCAGTATACATGTAAGACACAAAAATGTACATATACACATGTTTAAATTGCAATTTAAACAAATGGAACACCTCTTCCTATTCCGACAAGAAGTTAGAGACAAAGTACCAATTCTAATTATGAATCTTTCAAGCTGTAAGCTCCCAATGCCATCTCTAATAGCTCGTAATGATAGAAATATTAAACAAGAAAATAATTCCCAATAGCAGACCAACCTGACCACCACGATTCATCCGCTGAGCATTAGGGAACACAATTTTCAACTCCTGTCTCCATACAACAACATGGAAAAAGGAAAGAATAGGACATGAGAAGTGTCTAATTAAAAAAAAATATAGTTTCCTATATAATGACTTCTAAAAGAAAGAGTGAGAAGGGGATAGTGGACTACGTAATATAATAGCAGGATAATTGAAGGGTACACCAACCTTGACAAACTGAGTAAGAGGAGCACTAGGATTCCTTGAAGTGGTAAGCAAAATTTTGGGATCTTTTTCAGGTGCATTAGCATATTCATCATCAATAGTTGATCGAGGTACTACATCAACATCATTCAAAATAGACAAAAGCCTTGTTATAGCAAAAACATAGCACATACAACTACAACTCAATACGAATGTAATTAGAGAACATTTCAACAAACCACTATGTTCTACTTGTTCGTGCATAGTCTACAATTCCCATCGGTGAATTATTAACAAAAGAACAGAGAGAGAGAGAGATGTTGTCATAGAAAAGGCATGATGAAGATACAAGCATTAAAGAGAATTGTAAAGATTTCCGGCAGCCAATAATTTCTAGTTTATCAAAGGTTTCATATCCTTCCATCATCTTGTTTAACCCTCTTTGCTTCTCTCTTCCTTTTCACATTCTACAAGATTTAACCCACCAAGAGAATAGACAAGTGAAGAAAAACTCATGAGCACATAAAAACCTCTAGAAACTATAAAATCTTACATCATATATATGAAGATAAAAAAAGATGCCTCTTCTTCGCATTCAGCCAAGGAGACCAATGTACCACTATTTCAAATCAATTGGACAAATAACTAATGTAATTCTCACTGCTAATCAGTCCCCTGGCCGATACTATATGGCAGCTCGTGCCTATGCCACAGTCTGAAATGGGCAATTTGATAACACCACTACCACTGCCATACTTGAGTACACAAATCTCTACTCAGGCGCGAATTCAAGGCCTTTATTGCCTCAACTTCCAGCTTTCAATGATACAGCCACTGCCACTGCCACTTCTTTGGCTAATCAATTAAGGAGCATTCCTAGCAATAATAGAGTTCCCAATCAGATTGATGAGAACTTATTTTTCACTGTTGGACTAGGCTTAGTGAATTGCACCCCTGGCCCTAGATGTCAAGGGCCTAATAATATGCAATTTGCTGCTAGCATGAACATTTCATTTGTTTTTCTAAGAAGAACTTCATTTCTGCAGGCCTATTACCAAAATATTCCAGGGATTTATACTTTGGACTTCCCACCTGTTCCACCGGTGCACTTTGATTACAGAGGCAATGTTTCATGAGGACTCTGGCAACCGAGATAATCCAGGTAAAGAACCTGATTTCATCACTAAAAATATTTTTGTTTGAAATTTTTGTATCTGTTTTGATTGACTTATGTGATATGTTGCAGGGGTTTGGTTGTTCCATTGCCACATTGATTCACACTTGGATTGGGGCCTAGGTATGGCACTCATCGTCGAAAATGGAATTGGAGAGGAACAGACAATGGAACCACCTCCACCAGATCTACCACAATGCTAATATGTTTAAATTGTAGCAAATTGTCCTAAAATTAAGCAGTTCTTAGTGTCTGTTTGTTGTTTTCTCAAGTGTGAGCCATCATGATTTTGCCTACTGGAATTCATTTGTCTATGATTAATGTTCAAGTGCCAACCAAGAAAAGAATTTTACTTCACATTTTATGTACTAATCACAATCTTGGATTCTGTCATCATCATATAGAAGTATTGAACAGTTATATTTTCATCACATTTCTCTTTTTCTTAAAGATCTTTTTTGTGGTGAGCTTATATATTTTACTTCACATTCTATGTACTAATCACATTGTATCTTTTCTTTTTTAAAAGACTCTTTAATTCTAACTTTTCAGCTGATATGTTTAAAACTATAAGATTAAAAAGCATTTTACTGCATTCTACTTATACTTAATCAGACCCCAAAATTTAAAAGTTTTCTTAATTTCTTACTTACTCAGTGAAGCAAATCTCAATATCCACATCACTTTTTCTCCTACAATAGACACCAAAACCGCTTCCTCCCCAATTCAATCATGTATCCCCATAACTAAGACTAATAGCAGCAATTTTTGTAGCAAGATTAATTCTAGTTTATAATTTCAATTTGAGTTCAATTCGTATCATAATCAAGTATCAACCCTATAAATTTAGAAATAATCAGCATACCAGCAGTAATTTCATCTTCAAGATCGATTTCTTTCCGAAGAGCAGCTTCTTCGTTCCTGAGCTCAGTTGGAATTGGTTTTCCCTCTGAAAATACCCAAAATCATCAAAAACCCAAAAACAAAAAGCACAAAAAATATAAAATTCTACAAATTTCAATATTTTCTCATCAAATTTGTAATGAAAACTGACCTTCTAAAGCTTCTCTGATTTTGCGTTTCTTCTCATAGAGCAAACGCTCCTTCCCTTCTAAGCTTTTCCTGTATAGGTACTCTCTTCGCAGCCTAATGTTCCTTCTATGCATGGTGGCTACTACACAAACGTCGTCGTTTTCAAGGTTTCTGGTTTTAGGGTTTAAGAGATTTTGGGGAAAAAGAAAGAGAGGGTTTTGTGAGAAGACAAAATAAAATGGGCTTTTACTATGCAAATATGTAGGTCGATGAAACACTAAAATTTAAGATTAAAATATTACTACATTTTTTATGTGTGCAAAATTTTGATCTATGTCTAATGAATTTAACAGACATTCTTCACGCTTGTACTTGTTCTTCACAGTATCTTGGTAAAAATTATATACCAGAAAGTTCCTCTACAACCAAGCATAATAAATATTGTGTGAAAAATCAGGGAAAAAGGCAGCTTGAAGAGTAACAAAAGGACCTACATTATACACATTTCTCTGAATAAAATGAGCTTCTCTGTTGTGTTTGTAAGAACTCAAAATTTGTCTCATTTAACTGCATCCAATGTGCCAACAAAAAACAGAATATTGCAATGTTGTCACAATACCAGCTAAGTTATCTCCTACTAATTTCAACCTTTTGCTGAACCAACCAAGTTCTTGTATTTTGTTTATGTCAGAGGAATGCTGGGCATCAAGAGAATCCAATGTAATGACCATGTTAGATTGCAAAAACTGAATGTTTGAACACCTTCAATGAGCATGTCTTGCTGCATATCTTTGTGCAAAGGTCTAGTGAGCAAATTTATCAATTTCCATTAAAAAAACATGGAACCCGTAAAGATATAATATCTCGGTTTAACTCAATCCAAAGGTTAGCTCAGCAGGGGGATTGTTAAAGTACATATAATGAAATCGTTGGTCCATTCGCTAATAGGTACTCAATAAACCAGGGAAAAAAATCTTCTTTATAAGTTGTGATATTATAGATAAAAACAGCCAGGCAATAAGACAGTGCTTCTGAATTACTCCCTCCATATCTCTGCTTTGAGCACCCACACATGTAAATTCCATCTCCTCTCACAATCCTCAGGTAAATATTTGTTGTGGTTGAACCTATGTTGGACTGCACCATAATACGAAAAAAAGGCTCCCAGACACGAATCCCAATGTAATCTTTAAATCATCTCCCAACCTTTAACCCCACCGGGGATCCTTCTGATCACCGGAATCCTCCTTCCCTCTTCCTTTTCTGACAATCTCTTTCCACCAAAGCACCTACCAGCCACCCGCGACTCAACCCCAAAAAGACCCATCCACAGAAAGTCTCGCACGCGCCACCTCTTCTTCTAAGACCTCAACCTCACGCGCAGCACGCGCCGGCGCGTGAGTCGACAAATCTCAGAATTTCAACCTTTTCGCGATCCGATCCAGGCCACAAGGGTCTTCAACCCCCATTCCGTCTTCGTTTAAAGCATTTTTTTTTCTTTTTATCATCAGTTTTTAGGAAAGAGATGGCTAACATAATCTTTTTCAAATTAGGGGGGAAGTCTTATGACTTAACCGATACCAATCTGGCCTCAGATTCTAGGTTTGAATGGGTGGAGAGTGTTGGACGGTATGTGAGAAGAATGAAGTTGAGTAGAGCAGCTATACAGTGGCTATGCGGAAGATTTAATGAAGCTTCAGAAATCAAAGGAAAATCCTTCAAAACTTGGAGATGCAGAGATTTAACTACTCTTATTTATTGCTCTTTAAAGTACAATAAATATGGTAGATTTGTGTCTGTTATTCCGGTTAAAGGAGAGCTGAGATCTATTATTATTCTCCCTGAAATCTCATTCAATGCTGGCTGGTCTGATCTCTCTAAGAAAATTGAGGTCTTTATTATTAAGGCTGAAATTTCACAAAGAGAAACTCTAAATGCAAGGGAAATAACCAGGAATGGACAAAAAGGAAAAAGAAGTTATAAGGAAGCTCTTCAAAAAGGCAGATGGCTCCCTAATGAATTTCAATCAACACCAGAGAGCAGCACCAATGGAGATAAGGATCCTTTTAGGAGAAGTCTGGTTGGCAGCTTCCCAGATTGCGATGAGATACCTTCCCGTAACGATGTAGGAAATGGGCGCAAAACACATGGAGAGGCATCCATAATATACAAGTATTTGATTTGAACGGGATCCAATTCCTTTTTGAATTTCAGTCGAGAAGGGATGCTGATAATGTGTTTGCAGGGAGATGGAGTAGGAGCAACCATTTATTGGAGCTGGAGTGGTGGTCCCCGACGACGGGAGCTATTCAAGCCCAACAACAATTTGATTTGTTTTGGGTTCGAATTTTGGGACTACCGTTACATCTATGGTCTGATAAAGTGATGAAGGAGATAGGGGATCAGTGTGGCGGATGGATTGAAGTGGAAGAAGAAACCCAACTCAAGAATCACTTGAGATGGGCCCATATTCGAGTCAAAGGACCTCTGAAGGTAATTCCGACATACGTAGAAGTGAGTGATGGAGAATTTAATTTTTCATTGCCGGTATAGTGTGAAGCTCCGGCGAGATTCAGACGGAACTCATATCTAATGCATGTCGAGCAATTAGAAGGCGCAACACATTTTGTATCTGGAAGGAAGCTCTCATAGCAAAACTCTTTGCTGACCTCTATTCCAAAGGAGGTGGAACATACCTTTTTGGGTAATGATACGCAGTTAATTTGCAAAAAAAAAGGGAAGAGGAACACGCGGGTCTGAATGAAAGACATGTGAGGGAAATAATTAAAAATTTGGGCCCAGGAATTGTATTAGAAGTGTTGGACCAAATCGGAATAAAAGGCAGTGGGTCACATGAAGCCCAATTGCCTAAGAAAGGCCCCATTCAGTTAGAAAAAGAACCTTTTGTTGACGACCTTTTTTCGACAGAGAACAGTTTCTTTCCGAGCTCGAACATAACAGAGATGGAGATGGGGACTGGAGTGAGAACTGAAATATCTTTTGCTAAGGATGATGTGGCAATTTACTTTGGGTTAGAAGTTTTGGGGGGTGAAGATAACAACTTGCCCATGGTTATTTATGATACCGAAGGGGCAAGAATTAATTCAGCAGAAACAAATAAGATAGATCTTCATCAGGGCTTTTGCTCTTCTGAGCAAATTACATCATTTGCAGATCCTCTTCCTCTTCAAATTAATGATAGTCTCTCAGAACAAGAAATTGAGGACAAAGTTTCACTTTGGGTACATTCAAATGTACTTAAACTCAGTCAACTTTTTGGGGTTGCTTTTAAAGGATGTGATAAGGCGGCTTTTGATCTATTTCTGAGAATTGATCAAAAGAGAGGGGATTTGAGGCAGAAGAAGGTGGAGACAACACCAATCAAAGCAAAGAACACAATCTCAAAGGAGATAAGAAATTTGGAATTTCATGTTAAGTTTAAAGAAGGGGAATCAAGAAACAAGGGGAGAATTTCAAACACAAATTTCGATGAAAGTCAAAATCCTTTCTTGGAATGTAAGGGGGGTAAATGGAGAAGAAAAAAATGGGTTAGTTAGGAGATTATTTCAACATTGGGGGGCTGATATTTATGTTCTGGTTGAGACAAAATTGGGAGGATCAGAGGTAAATATATTCAAACAATTATGGAAAAATAGATGGATGGGGGAATTTCATTTGGATGCTATAGGCAAAAGTGGTGGCATCGTAGTGATGTGGGATAAAAGGGTGTGGAGAGGAGAGCTGGTAATAGCAGCAAACCAAATGGTGACCTGTAAGTTTGAAGGCATTAATCAGGCACTCACATGGTTCCTTTCAGCTGTGTATGCCTCATGCGATCCAATAACTAGAAGAGAACTTTGGCAAGAATTCATTAACATCAAAGAACTGTGTAATGGGCCTTGGGTAGCTTGTGGATCAGAAGGGCACGAAATTACTACGCCAATGACTGAATTCTCTGAATGGATAAATGAGATGGAGTTCATCGACCCTCATTTATTTGGGGGGTCTTTCACATGGAGAAGGGGGGACAATCACATGTCTGCTTCCAGAATTGATAGGTTTTTATTCTCTTCTCAGTGGGATGGGACCTTTACAGGGATAAAACAGAGCATACTTCCCAGAATAGGTTCTGACCACAGTCCAATTTTGCTTGAATGTGGAGACTTAAATTTGAAGAAGTCTTACTTCAAGTTTGAACAATGGTGGTCAAGGGTGGAGGGTTTCTCAGACAAAGTTAAAGATTGGTGGGAATCTTTCAATATCACTGGTACAGGCTCTTATGTCCTAGCCTCCAAGTTGAGGATGCTAAAAGGAAAGCTAAAAGAATGGAAACGGGAAAATAGGAACAATTGGAATCAGAGAAAAGAGGAAATCTTAAATCAGCTGTCAATTTTAAAAAAGACTCAGGAGTTGAGATTGCTATAAGAGGATGAGTTACTTCAGAAAGTACATCTTTCAATGGAGTTTGAAGATGTTGCAAAAAACGAGGAAATAGCTTGGAGGCAGAGGTCTAGAGTACATTGGCTTAAACACGGAGACAAAAATACCAAGTTTTTTCACAGGATGGCTACAACACATAAAAGATTCAACACCATTAACAAGTTGATGGTTGAAGGGGTTACAGTAACAGATTCTGAAGAAATTAAAGGAACCATAATTAATTTCTATCAAAATCTTTACAGAGAAACTGAATAATGGAGGCCAAAATTTAATGTACAGGGAGCGGAAAGCATTACGCAATGGGAAAATGTATGGTTGCAGAGGCAATTCGAGGAAGATGAAGTTTTTAATTGCATAGAATTATGTGCTAGTGATAAGGCCCCCGGACCAGATGGCTTTCTGATGAGTTTTTTCCAAACCTTCTGGGAGATACTAAAGACAGACTTCATGAATGCAGTGAAACAATTTCATGAAAGACATGAGATAGAAAAGAGCCTCAACGCCACCTATGTGGCTCTAATTCCAAAGAAGATAGGAGTTATGAATCTTAGGGATTTTAGACCCATCAGTCTCATTAGTGGTTGGTAAGTTGTTGGCAGAGAGATTAAAAAAAGTGATAAGCAAATTAGTGAGCAATTATCAAATGGCCTTCATTCAAGGAAGACAAATTATGGATGTCGCATTAATAGCAAGTGAGTGTGTAGATTCAAGGATTAAAGGAGAGATCCCAGGAATTATGTGCAAACTTGATATAGAAAAGGCATATGATCATGTCAATTGGGAGTTTCTACTTAATATTCTGAGGCAGATGGGGTTTGGAGACAAATGGCTAAATGGATAGGTTTTTGCATCAAAACTGTCAGATTAGAGTGGCCAATCAGAACAACTGGATAAAGGGCTTCAACATTGGTAATCAGTCAGGGGTCAATTTGAAAATATGTCACCTTTTATATGCAGATGACACACTTATGTTTTGCGATGCAAAGGTAGAACAAGTTAGTTACATTAGAGTTGTTTTGGTGATTTTTGAGGCCATCTCTGGACTGGCTATGAACTGGGGGGAAAGCAGCATCTTCTAAATCAAGGAAGTGGCAAATATTCAACTGTTGGCAAGCATCTTGCAATGCAAGACAGAGCACTTACCAACTACTTATCTTGGAATGCCTTTAGGGAATAATCACAAGGAGCTTGAGATTTGAGATGGAATCATTGAAAAGACAGAGAAGAGGTTGGCTAATTGGAAGGCAAACTATCTATCTCTGGGATGAAGAGTCACTCTGATCAATTCAGTTCTGGATGTGTTGCCTACATATGTTATGTCACTTTTCCCTTTACCATCAAAGGTAGAAGAAGGCTGGATAAATTGAGGCGTGATTTTCTATGGTCGGGGAACAAAGAAGGGAAAAAAATAC